TTGATAAAGGTTCTTGTCCCAGTGACCCACATCTGAGAGGGTTTTAAAAATTGTTAGACATGATTTCACAGCAGAGTGAAACCTCTGATCACTAGGAATTTTAAAGTGTATTTATTTTGTTGTTCTTTGGGTTTCTGGGACCCCTCAGTCCCTTAGGTGCCTTGTGTGGATACTTGAACATCCCTTTCCTGAAAATGATTAAATGAGCTGCCTTTTTTTTCTGGACAGAGAGAAACACTGCTGCTGATGTTGCTTTGTGTCCTAGATTTGCTGTTCCTCTGGATGTCATGTAGAAATCCTACAACCTAAATGTCTCTAGTTTCAGAGCATTTGCAACACACACTCATAAAATAGGTATAAAACCGCAGGCGAGGCCACAAAATGCAGAGCTATTGATAAACTGTGGGGTTTCATAGTAAAAACCACAGTGGTGGCAAATGATTTTTTAAAACCTGTTGTCAGTGAAGACACCAGTCAGTGTGAATGCATGCAACAACGTATTTACTGTAAACTGAAACTTACAGGCTAAACAGGCCTGCCCACAGCCTCAGCGTTACTTAAATAAGAAACTGAGAGCCATAGGTTTCCCATAAAAATGATGGGCATAAGTCTATTGGAGGAGGTAATAGGACTTAAAACCTGTGAGGCAGCATGGTAACCTCTTTAATGCCACTGGTTCAGACCTGATCGTTCTTGCCAGATGCAAAGATTCTAATGAAAAGCTACACTGAAAGGTATCTGTCTTCATCCTACTAAACCAGCAGGGTTTCTTCCTGTCAAGGTGGTGCACCTGCTTACATCAGCTCCGCCTCCCCTTGCTCTGGTTTGACTACAGTACCCAAGGCGCACCGCGCCTCTCTCCACTCTCTCGCTCTCCGCTGCGCCAGTGCACCTCTCTGACTCGCAAAACCAGTTGGTTTGGCCCAGCTTCTTCTCCGCTGCCTTCTCGCTGCGTGTGCTGCTGCTGTTGTTGCCTGGTGTCAACCTACGTCGACGAGAGAAGAAGACATATCCCTCCCTCTCCTCTATTAGAGGGCCGATTCCAATTTGCCTTCACTTTCTTCCTCGCCGGCACCATTGGCTTCCGTGCCGTGCCAGTCAACTCACCTCCTTTCCCAGCCCGAGTTGAGCAGCAACAGCTCGGAAACATCTGGCCGCCGCAGAGTGCTACACTCCCCGTATCTCCGCCTGTTCGCCTCGGCAGCCTGTTATGGAAATCAGTCCAAAGTCAATCTAGTTTTGACTACGAAGGGAAAAAACGGATTTGACGGAGGAAGCGGGGAAGACGTTGTACCTTGTTGTCTGTAAGTGCCTCTAATACCGGAGTCCGATTAAAGGAGGCTCAGGAGAGAGAGAGGGTGGGTTACGGAGGGGAAAAAGTAGCTAAACCTTCCTTAGCATGTCTGTGTTGTCTCCACGCATTAATAGTTGCTATGTTAGCTTTCCGTCCGCGGCGTTTTAGCAGCTGTTGTCATAGCACCGGGGCCTTCGCAACAACTGTAAATAGCTCAATATTGTAGCCTATACTTTTGTTAGCCACGATCGGGCTATAGCTAGCTGAGTGGATCCCTGTGTGTCTCTGCGTGTCTCTCCTCCTGTGTTTGTTGTGTCCTCTGATAATAAATTATTTACAGTCTTCTAGTGTTGTTAGTTTGTTCAGTCTCACAGCCTGTCCGCAGTAACAGTGGTTTTATGTGAATTCATTGCCGGACTATCAGTCATTATCGTAGTTAATAATTTAGGCTGCTTTAAATGAAGTTAAGGCATGTATTGGTGTAATTTATAACAATTTTATTTATCACAGCGTTGACTTTTGGAAGTCCAGGTGTTGACTGTAGCGCTGTCACGATATTAAAATGCGCTAAAGCAGCGACCACTGTAATTAAAAATTAAAAAGTTAATTCAGGCTTAGGTTGGATAAGCTGAAGTCTCCGACTGTGTAGTGAGTTTTTACCCAAGCTTACTAAAGCTCGTAGAAGTTAAAGTGAAGCTTTTTTTTTTTTTTTTTTACTGAATATTAAAAAAAACTTTATTTATATTGTATACGCTTACGTTTTGCTATTAAGAAAAATGACGTTATTAGTCTTATGTTTTAATTTATGTGCAGCTGTGATAACAGCTAATAAGTTTAAACTGCTTAGTTGTCTTTTGTTTGACTTGTCATAATATTTTAATACTGTGTATGCTATAATAGTCTTTTAAACGTTTGACTTGTGGGACAAATGGACAAATTAAAATAGCTTGTAAAGTAGTTTTGTTCATGTAGTCACATAAATTCAACAGCTGCACAGTGTCAGTAAATCAAAAGCGAAATAAGTCTGCTGTAATAAGTTTCTCCCCGCTTTTTTAAAAGCTTGTATACCTTTTGTTTAGAATTTGCACTCATTAGGCTCTTTCTTTATGAGTTGTTCCCATTGTTTCCTCATTTCATTTTTTTCCGAAGGGTCCGAGCAGGGGGGCAATGCACGGATAGGCACATATATGAATGAGTGAGTGAGTGAATGCAAGACCAGGCAGCAGCGCTGAACCGTAAGGAAATGGAAAACAATATCAGCTGCATGCATCTGTCAGTTGCAAATGTGTGTGTTGGCCTTTGTTTATGGTTCGTGGAAGGAGAGGAAGACAGGTGTATTTAAAGATTTCATAACACTAGAGAAGGTTAGAAAAAGTTTTACTCAGAACCTCTGTATTATTTTTTTTTTACTTTATCATCATCATCATCATTGTCATCATTATTATTATTATTATTTTGTAAACTGTTCCTTTCTTTGATAGTTTTGCTACAGCAGGAGTGAGTGGTTGCGGTTGCATGATTTGGCGAGTAAATTCTTTTCTGATTCCCAAAAACCAAATCAGCATCCCACTGCATTTAGTCAATTCATGTTGTTTTTCTCAAAGAGAGAGAAAAAGGGGGAAAAGAGAGACAGAGAGACAAAGTTGCGTGGTGTTGGTAGAATGAAAGAGGAGTCTGGTGGCAGAAGTGTAGAGGAGGCAGCATATGGCTGTAGAAAGAGCACAGCTGGAGGTAGCATCTCCATCTGAGGATGATGTCAGAGCAGCTGACAGGCTGCCATCCACCCCACCTCCTCCTCCTCCATCTCTCCACCGCCTCCACCCCTTCCCAGTCCTTTATTGTGAGTCTCAGCGGCAGCCTGGGAGAGTTAGTGCTGTGTGTGTGTGTGTGTGCGCGCACACTGTGTATGTGTGTATTTGTGGCTGCCGATCAGTGCCAGTTAGGAGGAGGAGGAGGGAGGTGGTATCTCGTTCCCCCTTCAACATCTCCTCCACTTTGCATCTGTCCCTCGCAGTTTGAACAGCGTTTTTTTTTTTTTTTTTGCTTGCCTCCCTCTTCTTCTTCTCTCTTCTTCTACCCACTCATTGATTCAGAGAGAGTGAGCAAGGAAGAGAAAGAGCACGCAAGAAAGAGGAAGAGAGAGAGATACACAGCCATTCCCAGCCAGCCAGAGAGCCCAGCTATTCTGCTACAGTGGAGTTAATCAAGTTGATGCATACTGCTGCAGGTATCGTTTTGTGTGTGTGTGTGCATGTGTGTGTGAGACAGTGAATAGAGCAGCAGAGTCCGGGGGAAGTGGAGTAGTTGTTTTGTTGTGGGGATCTCCGGCGTGTCAAGCCAGTGTGAGCGCTGTGTGAAACTGCTGGTGAGTGTTTCAGTAGTAAAGTCGTGTTGGAGCTGCCTGTCTGAGGGGTAATTGCAGTCTGGGAAAACAGGCTGCTGTTTTTAGTTTGCAGTCTAGGGAGTTGCATTTAAAACTCAGCTACTGTTCTGCGATCTGTTTCCCATTTGTGTCGACAGGCATTTTGTTTGGACACTCATTAAGTTACAACTCTGAACAGTTTTTCATCCAAGTTTGATTATAATATGAGTGAAGTCACTGTTGAGAGTGATGCTTTTTTGACTAACATATTAAATATAAGAATCCCTTTGTGATTAGTTCAGTTTGAGCAAAGAAAGATAAACACATTTTTAAGGTAATAAAATAAAAAAAATTAAGTCTTTAAGCAAAACAATAAAATGAGCAGTTATTTAATACTAATAATTTTACCTGTTTTTCCTCTAACTCCCTGTAAAATTACCTGAAAGCATGTGCAGTCTGCTCTACCCACTTTTTTCCCGTCCTGTCGGCTGGACTAGAGGAGACTAATTTAGGAGTTGCAGATTTGAGCTGCCTGAATTGGCTAGACAGCTGTAATCGCACTCCCTCCTAGTCTTAATCTCTTTATCTGGCTAGCAGCCCATATGGCCTCCGTCAGCTGGATCAGATGTGGGTAAGCCTCCCTCCCCGGTCGTCCCAGCCTCTCTCTCACCCTCTCCCTCCCTGCCCCTCTGTGTGTGTCTCTGTCTCTCAGACCCCTGCCTGAGCTGGCTGGTCGGGTCGGGTGGGCAGAGTGTCGGGCTTCTGCCCTCCTGAGCCTTCGCCGACGGCTCCCTCCCCACCGCCTTCTTTATTTTTAGCCATCTTTAAGGATTAGAATTGATGCTGTGACGAGCAGGGCACTTACAGTGATTGTATTGTAAATCTTCTCTTCTGGGTGGTAGTGGTGTGCGGAGGGTGGGGTGTGGGGGTTAAGGAAGAGGGCAGTTTCTAATATAGGGCGGATATGCAGGGTTTTTCTTGTAAGATTCAGATCGGAAGGAGTGTGTGACTGACGGATGGTGTGTGTGTGTGTGTGGAAGGAGGAGACGGCAGAAAGGTTTGGCTGGATTGGGGGGTGGGGGGTGGGGGGTGGACACCCTTGTCCCCGTAAGCCCCCTCATTAAAAGCAGCCTGAACAAGCCGGAGGGTGAGAACACACACACACACGCAAACAACGCGCAGACACACATACAGTCCCGCACACACTGACATTCTTGGTTTAGCTTCATTCAAATGAGGTGATTTAACTGCTTTGGTTAACACAGCGCAGAGCGGGGCCGATGTATTTTCTCAGACAGGACAAACTGACGTGGTTAACAGGTGGGACTTAATGATTTTTACAGATTTCATTCAGATTTTGGCTAATTAGTTGTTTGTTTATTTTACTAGTTTAATTCTTTCTTTTTTAAGGATACCTAAAGATCATAGCTGCAACTTTTCAGTTTTTTTTTTGTTTGTTTGTTTCTGCTCATCTATTCTTGCACCTAAACCCGGTGCTCGCAGGTGAAATGAGGGACAAGATGTTTTGTTTTAGACAGTGCTGTTTCAATTGGCCAGTTTTCCTGCTCAACTTAGCCTGTGGAGGTGGTTGGTAGGTAGGCTGCTGCTGAGTGTGTGTGTGTGTGTGTTGTGTACATGAGGACAGTGTGTGCAGCATAAAGCCAGTTACCTAAAAGGGCTGTGCCAGGCCAGGCCAAAGTGGGTTAATAAAAATAACCAGCGTAGGAGCAGCGACAATCCAGGAGTGCAGGCAGAGGAGTTAGAGAGATACAGAGAGAGAACAGAGAGACAGAGTACAAGAATCTGTTTCTGCTGGTCTGCCAAGTCTTTATCTTGGTAAAAATGGAATCCGTGATTTTTTTTTTTTAATCACAATTATTTCCAGTTTTTTTTCACCTTTTTCTTTATATTTATTTTAAATTAAGTAAATAACTGTAGAAAAAAGGAACATTTGGCATCAATGTCCAAAGGAATGTGAGCATGTCTTTACAGTTACCTGTACAGTGTTTATGAATTTGAGCAGTAATATTTCTTATGGCTTGAAATCATGGCTGTGCGTGGAAAATTGCCTGCTTTACATTAAAGCTATAAACAGGTTTTAAATATACATGGTATCATTTCTACTTGTTTTGTTGTATTTTTTTCATATTTTAATTTACTTTTTATGTGTTAACAGTGATTCCTCTGTCAACTTCTCGGTCTCCCTGTTTTTGCTGACCTACCTTCTCCTGATGTGTTTCTCTCACACATTCTTCTTCTTCTCTCCGGCTTCTCATACCATATGTTTTTGGCATTTTTCTCTTCTCTCCTTTCTCTGTTTTTAATTGCTTTGTTTAAGAGAATTTTGCTTGCAAAAACCTAAGTTATGAAAAAACAATATCATGGCCTTTACATTTTTTATTTAGAAATTAAATGAAGTTTGTTATCTTACATCTTTGTAGGAGCTTTGTTTTTGTTGTCTCTCGGTCTCAATTATGTTTTGTAGGTTTTGCTTTTTGTCTAATTTTCTGTCACTTTTCTTGTGCATTTACTTTCACTGTCACAATATTTTATTTAGCGGTTTTTTAAAAACTTGCAAAACGTCTTTAAAAACCCACATTAGGTGTCACCGTCTGGCATTATGGAAACTGAGGCATTATCAGATGTATCTAACACTGATTCTGTGTCTGTAGGTTATGAGGACGGCAGGATGGAGTTCCCAGACCACAGCAGACATTTACTCCAGTGTCTGAGCGAGCAGCGGCACCAGGGCTTCCTGTGTGACTCCACAGTGCTGGTGGGTGATGCCCAGTTTCGTGCACACCGTGCTGTGTTGGCCTCATGCAGCATGTACTTTCACCTCTTCTACAAAGACCAGCTGGACAAGAGAGATGTGGTGCACCTCAATAGCGACATTGTCACGGCCCCAGCTTTTTCCCTGCTCCTGGAGTTCATGTATGAGGGCAAGTTGCAGTTCCAGGACCTTCCCGTAGAGGATGTGCTGGCAGCAGCCAGCTACTTGCACATGTATGACATTGTCAAAGTGTGTAAGAAACGTTTGAAGCAGAAGGCCACAGCAGAAGCAGACAGTACACGCAGAGAGGATGATGGTGGGTCCAGCTGCTCTGATAAGGCCGACAGTCTCTCAGATGGTTCTACGGGCCGGCCTGCTACTGCCGACCTGCTGCACAGTGATGAAGAGGAGGAGGGCAAGGCTGAGGGAGGACCGCTATGGCTGAGGCTGCCGTCTGCAGACAGACCCGCGACACCAGCCATGGCTACAACCAGCCCAGGGCGTGGCGAGGCAGAGACGCAGAGTGGGGAAGGACCAGCGGATGGAGGGAAGCTGCGCAGCCCCACCAGCTCCACCGGATCCCTCTCGCAGAGGTCTCACCGCTCCGTGAGTTCTCGTGGAGGGCACAGGGGCAGGAGGGTATCAAATGATGCGGCTGACTGTGTCCTGGACCTGTCAGTGAAGCCAATTGCTGGTAGCAACCACAGTAACCACCACCAGTCCTATTTCAGTGGGGCAGCTACACCAGACAGCCTGCAAAGCCCACTGGGTGTGAGGGTAAAGGTGGAGAGGGGCGTGGCTTCAGATGAGGAAGATGAACTGGGAGGGGGGGACTATGACATGGAGCACAGTGGCATCACCAAGGCAACAGTTCCCAGCGCCAACGGGGGCCTCACCCACCACGGGGTCGGAGGGCCTCTGTCGGTCCAAAGGCGGCTTGGCCTGGAAGCGCACCTGTCTGCTCTGCGAGAGGCCTCTCTGGCCTCAGAGCTGGAGCGGGAGGAGAAGCCTCCAGTCACAGCAGATGATGAGGACATACTGGGGGGTGAAAATGAGCGTGCCCAGGCCGAGGCGGCCAGCATGGATAATTCCTTGCTGCCCTACGTCTCTAACATGCTGTCAGCTCAGCACACCCAGATCTTCATGTGCCCGCTGTGTAACAAGGTTTTCCCCTCCCCACACATCCTCCAGCTTCACCTCAGCTCCCACTTCAGAGAGCAGGAGGGCATCCGCTCCAAGCCCGCTGGAGACGTCAATGTGCCCACCTGCACCATCTGCAGCAAGACCTTCTCCTGCATGTACACACTGAAGCGCCATGAGCGGACACACTCCGGTGAGAAACCCTACACCTGCACCACCTGCGGCAAGAGCTTCCAGTACTCACACAACCTCAGCCGTCATGCAGTGGTGCACACGCGTGAGAAGCCGCACGCTTGCAAGTGGTGCGAACGGCGATTCACGCAGTCCGGGGACCTCTACCGACACATCCGCAAGTTCCATTGCGAACTAGTCAACTCGCTGTCAGTGAAGAGCGAACCGCTGACACTGCCCAATGTCAGGGATTGGGCGATTGAGGACAGCTCCCAGGAACTGTGGAAATAGAATCAGACTGCTGGGTTAATAAAGGGAAGGAGAGTGGAGAGTGAAAGAAGGGCAGAGAGGCTTGGGGAGGAGAAAGAGAGGTGGCAAAGTTTGATGTTCGGGGTTTAAGTGAGTCATATTCTTGTGTGTCGCAAAATCTCATTCAATTGCACTTTAATAGCACATGAAAATGTTACTACTGAGTTTTTTTGTTATTGTTGCTGTTTGGGCTAACTTTGTTTTAGTCTGAACTCTGATTTTTATTTGACACAAGTTCTGTTTGGTGGTTTTCGTTGCGTCTAAGGACATGGGTCCCAGCGAGAACGTCTTGCCTTTTCGAAGAGTTTTTACTTTGTGTTTTATCTCTGACACAGCACTCCGACACTGGCCAGCGTATCAGCCCCTGTTCCACAGACAGAAAACGCCACTGCAGGAGTTCAGGTCGAACACACTGAACTGAAAAAGCATTACAATTCACTAAACGGGTACTGTGATCACCGCGAGTCAATACCACCGCACACACACAGTTTGATGAAGTGTGTGTGTGTGTGTGTGTGTGCGCTACTGCACTACTCTGGCAAAAATTTCACCTGACGTGCGTGAGTGTGTGTGAGTGTGTCTTGTGTGTACTATTTTTATTTTCTGCTGGCACGGAGGTGTCGTTGGCGAAGTGCTCCCCACTTCTCTTGTTAAGCTCTTTGGTGTTGTGTGTTCAGGGGAAAGCTGACTGACTGACAGACAAACTGATGGCACTCATGCAATGCACAGCCTCCTTTTTCACTTCCAATCAATTTGAAG